TGATTCACTTCTCAAGCCCCACAATCTGGGTTCTGCCTTAGCCACTGGCACTGCTCTGGTAAAGGTCCCTAGAGATCTCCATACTGCCCCAAACAGGGACCACATTTCCATCTTTATTTATTAGATCTTGCTAAAGCAAGTGACCCTGACCACAACCACTTTCCCCAAACATGTGACTATCTTGACTTCTGTGACACTACTCTCTCTGCTTGTTCTCTTCTCCCTTTTAGACATTGGAGTACTTATCCAAGTGTGGCTCAGGGGCCACTGGGGGTCTCTGAGACATTTCAGCAGCTTCATCAGGAAAAGTATTTTCACAATATCAAGAAGATATTTGCTTGTTTCTTCCTCACTCTCTTATGAGTGTATGGTGAAATTTCCCAGAGGCTAAATGACATGCGATACAGCAAGAGGTGGAAGGCAGAAACAAATAGAAGAATGTACTCTTCTTTTATTAAGACAAACGTTAAAGAGATTTGCAAAACTGTTGAATAATGTCACTCTTGCCACTAATTTTTAATTTGGAAGAAAAAGTTATTTTTCATAAAAATGTTATTTAGGTTTGTGTGTAATGGGTTTATTATTTCGTTTAAAGATAGGTGTTTTAAAATGTTTTAGTTTTAATTTTTTTTAAATTTTTTTTTTCAATGTTTATTTATTTTTGGAACAGAGAGAGACAGAGCATGAACGGGGGAGGGGCAGAGAGAGAGGGAGACACAGAATCAGAAACAGGCTCCAGTGTCCGAGCCATCAGCCCAGAGCCTGACGCGGGGCTCGAACTCACGGACCGCGAGATCGTGACCTGGCTGAAGTTGGATGCTTAACCGACTGCGCCACCCAGGCGCCCCTTAGTTTTAATTTTTAATACGATTTTGATAACTATGCTGCACACAAAAAAGCTCTTGGGGGTCCTCAGTTATATATAAGAATGTAAAAGGATCCTGAGACCATTAAATTTGAGGATCATATCCTTAGACTATGTCTTCTTGGTCTCCTTAAGTGGCTCTTCTTTGTCCTTAAGTGGCTCTTCATTGTCTAATTCCTTAAATTTTGATGTTCTCTAGAACAGCATCCTTAGCCCACTAATTTTCTCACCATATACCAAGATTTCTCAGTCTTAGCATGTTTGACATGTTGGGACAGATAATTTGTTTTTGTTTTTTTTTTCAACGTTTTTTATTTATTTTTGGGACAGAGAGAGACAGAGCATGAATGGGGGAGGGGCAGAGAGAGAGGGAGACACGGAATCGGAAACAGGCTCCAGGCTCCGAGCCATCAGCCCAGAGCCTGATGCGGGGCTCGAACGCACGGACCGCGAGATCGTGACCTGGCTGAAGTCGGACGCTTAACCGACTGCGCCACCCAGGCGCCCCAAAAGTTTATTTATTTATTTTTGAGAGAGAGAGAATCCCAAGCAGGCTCCATGCTATCAGCCCAGAGCCTGATGTGGGGCTTGATCTCACAAACCCTGAGATCGTGACCTAGCTAAGATCAACTGGACACTCAACTGACTGAGTCACCCAGGTGGCCCCAGGTAATTCTTTATTATGGGGGGCTTTCTTGTGTTTAGCAGCATCCCTGGCCTCTAGCTATTAGATGCTAGCAGCATCCTCCCACCCAAGCTGTGACAACAAAAATATATCCAGACATTGTCAAATAAAATTGCCCCTGGTTGAGAGCTACTGCCCTAAATACTCTTCCTGGAAATTTCACCTAATACCAAGATTTTAATTCCTCTTAAGATAATAATTCCACTTACTGGGTACTTACTCTGTGCCAGGCATAATTGTAAGCACTCGACATGTATTAACTCATTTAAACCTCTATCACTGTATGAGAAATAAATCATTATCTTTGTGTTATAGATTAAGAAACTGCAAAACAGAGACGTGAAATGACTTCCCCAGGGTCACACAGCAAATAAGTGATGATAGTAACTCTGGCCCTGTTTGCTCCCCTGAGCTGTAGATGCTTGTGCATAACTGCCTTTGCTGCACATCAGATGACATTTACTCAAGATGTCCTAAGATGTATTTAGGAGTCTTCTTGTCATAAGACCAGCTATTTCTGTAAGTCAGTTAATGGCAGAACTTTACACTTAATCTTTCTGTGCCTCCTCTTAACTAGTAGCCTGGTTGTGATTCTAGACTCTGCTTGGATCCTCTTCCTTCTTCCTGAATCCAATCATTCATAGCGTTCTAACAATTTTATCCTATATTAAAATGCCTTTTTTTTCTCTATCATCCACTATTCCTGCCTTCATTAAGACCCTAATCTCTCCTCAGCACTGCTGTAATGAACTTCCATTTGGTGTCCTTGTATCTAGCTCTCAAAATTATCTTCTACACTACTGCCAGTGATCTCCCTAAAACATAAATCTGGCCATGTCTCTCTCTGGTTTAAAATGCTTTATTGGTTGCCTGTTAGCTAAGAATAAAGTCCATGTCCAAGGCATGGTGCCTAGGTCCTTGAATATGTATGTGGCCCTTTCTAACCTTAGTCTCATCCTCTGTCACCTCATGAATCACACTTAACTCTTCAGAAATTAAACAGTCTTCTGCTGTTTGTTGTTATCTGAACATACTATGCTGCTTTATGCCTTTGATCCAATATATTCTTGATTCTATCCCCTGTGCATGCCCATCACAGCACTTAACACAGTTTGCAAAAATGGTTTCTATAACTGTGTCCCACAAAGGTCTGTTAAAAAAGCCACTGATGGGCCTTGCTGAGCCCAAAGCTCTCATCTTCCTATATCTAGGTTTTGGTATGGCAGAGGCAAAGTTTTTGGAAGCACTGAAGTAAAATGACACTTAGGAAAAGGACCTGTTTAGATGGAGGTGGGGTTGTGGATGAGGGAAATTAGGAAAACCTCTGTCCTGAGAAGGTCATGATTGAGCTGAATCTCAAAAGAGGATGAACTCAAGACAAGACTGTTTAAAGAATGTTTAAAGACAATAGAAAGAACTTTACAGGGGGGAAGGGGACATCTTTGAAATTCACAAGACATAGCCTTAATATACAAGAAGAACATTATTTTGTAAAAAGTACATTTATTATCTTAGACATACTGGTAGGAATCTCAGGTTTTAGGTCCATGATTTCAAGAAAGTGTAAAATGATTACCAGATCCCTACAGTTAATACATTTACATGTATTTAATAAATTTGGTTCAAAAGCATTACTCAAAGTATAATTTGAGCAACTACTTTCTAAATGTCTATTACTTTACAGTGGCTCCTACAGAAACTCATTTCCAATTTTCTGCCTATGAGCTTTGAATGATTTTCCTGCAGTTTACTCCTGTTGACTTGGCATTTATTCACTGGATAAAACTTTGCCTCAAGTGTACATTTCAGCACCTGGCTCATAAATCATTTCCGAATGGATTTTTAGAAATGTAAGAGTCCTTAGAGATTACCTAGTCCAACAGGCTAATTTTACAAACAAGAAAATTGAAATACTAAGGTTGAGCGACTTGTTGAAGGTTATATATTCTCTGAGGGCTCGTACTTGACTTTTCCATGATGTGCTTTCTCATCTACCCTATCCCTGCTGCTGTCTCTTCAGTGTGTGACCTGTGTGCCTATCCTAATTCTTGCTTATGCTCAGTAAACTTAAATGACAAAATATCTTCTTCCAGAATGTAATGTAAATAACTGGTTACCATTTATTCACTTGCATATTTTGTGGGTTTCTTCAATAGACTTGGTGAAGTCTTGGTGCTAAGTACTAGGTTAATTTTTTGTTAAAAATTCTACCAGTATTCCTGATATTTATAAACCTTACCTTCCAAAGGCAAAGTCATTAAGTAAAACCACGGTCTCTCATGAAATGTTTCTTTCAGCCATTTGACTGGGTAAATTTGGTCTCACTGGTATGGTCCAGATGTTCTCAAATTTATAGGATGAATATACCTTTACCATGCAGGTATCTAAAAATTAGCCACTGCTTGAGAGGTTTAGTGTTCCCATAACCTACATTGTACTGGGTCTACTTATAAGGCCTCACAGCTCATAAACTCACTGGGAGGGTGGCGCCTATCTAACCAGATCTTTCCAAGGATAGGCTCTCTCCTAGGACGCTTGGCCTGGCCAATCACCCAAAGTCAGATCTCGCCTAAATATGGCTCATACTCAGACAGGATCAGGTAGTTGGTAGGAAACACCAAATCTGAAAGGACGCAGAGACAGAATCCATACAGTAACGATGGGTCAGAAGTTATAAGGAAGCAAAAAAGGAAGCAGAGGCTGGGAGGTAGACCAAAAAAAATATATGAAGAGTATAAGGAACTCAAGAGCATATATGAGGAAGGGGCAGGCACGGAGAAAGTCGTGCAACACATTGAGGGATGTAAGTTTAGACTCTCATCCTTCTGCTACTAAGATTTTTAAGGCTGCATCCCCATTTTGTGAGGCCAAGGGAAACGTTTCAGCTCCTGGAAGATTGTGAGACTTTCGTTCCTTTACCGCTACTTGAATTTCCTTTACAAACCCTGCCCTCGCCCGACCCCCTCCGCAAAGCCAGTGCCCTAAGTAGAAGTGATTTGATTCTGATTCTTGCAACCAAGAAAGCTAGTTAAGACACGTAGGCTATTATTAAAGAAGTGGCTAGAGTGAGTCTTCAGCTTGCGGACATGTGCTACTGACTGCTTACTTCCACTATCAACTCTTCCAATCCTGAAGCTCTACACATGCGACAAACGGTTCCTAGCTTGAACCCTTGCAGTTTCCACGTCCACAGAAACACACTAGTAACCACACTCCTAGAGAACCACGGTATTCGATTTGGGGGAAAACTTCACAATATTTGAACCTATTCTTTAATACAATAAAGGGCAAGCCCCCTGCTCTTCCCTGAAGGTTTCAGAGAGCTACGCTGGTCGACAGGGGCACGTTTTTCGGCGGCGGAGCCTTTGCATCCCCATTCCAAAGCCTCCGGCGCGGGACAGGAGCTCCCCGCACCCCGGACCTCCCGGCCCTCGCCGCCCACTGGGTCACCTGTAATTGTAGGCGCTGAAATGCTTGCTTTCTCTCAGCATCGCCCGGTACAGATCTAACACTTGTGCGCGGCTGGAGGCTGCCATTTTGAAAGAAAAAAAAAAGGGGTCCTTTTTGAGGAGGTCCCGAGTTTAACCTAACCGACAAAACTTCAGTCTGTGCAAAACCTTGAGTGAAATGAAATAAAAGAAAATACAGTGGGGCTCGGTCTCGCTAGCGGGCCGCACCTCGACCTAGAACACCGGCCCGCACCTCGGGGCGCTGGGCGTCGCGCGCCGCTGGGGAGGCGGGCGCAGGCGGGCTTCGGGCAGCTTAAGGGGGAGGTGCCGACAGGGAGGCGTTGCCGTTCTCTGCCCGCGCCTGGGAGGAGGCGTACAGCAGCTGAGGGGGAAGAAGGGGGACGGCCACAGGGGAAGGTCTGAGCCTGGAGGGACGCAGGGCGGAGTTTCTAGCATTGAGTGCGCGTTGCCCGTTAAGGAGCGCCTTCGAGAACTGCCTAGGTCGTGGCGGGTACATTTAGCCTCATATTGCAGCTCCCAGTGCTATCTCTGCAAGGCCCAAGGCCTCGTTGCCACGGTTACCAGGAGCGCGGTGGGTCGACGCCCCGCCTTCGCCCGCAGATGACCCGCCCTTTGCGCTGGGGCCGCCCTCCGCGCTGCCTGAGAGGCCGAGCGGGCTTTCCAGGTTGCCTTTACTTTACGGCTCTCTGTCTGTGGACCCCCTGTACAGGGAACTTTCTGAGCATAGGGATGGGTTGTAGGGGGCGCTGAGTCGACAGGTGAGGGACTCCCTGGTTCTTAGGCTCTGCTCAGGACGACCGGCTAAGGGCCTTGATAGCAAGGCCCCCTTTCTTGTCAAAATGGCAGCGCCCAGCATGCTGTGGAGGTATCTCTAAGGTGGGGAGGGGGTGCGGCGGATAAGAGACCTCCCAGGAGAGTAAGCAGCGTACCGCACTTCAGATTTTGAAACACCCAGGTTTGTGTCTCCTGGGCGAGCGGTGGGTGAGTGTTTGCCTCGCTGCAGCGTGATGTGCGACATGGGCGGTCGGTGGTGGCGGGGAGAGTTATTGGCCGTGGAATTTCCCCCCTTTCCGGGTGTTCTTTGAGCTTTCGAGGTTTTGCTTTTGAGAGTCCCGCGGACTTTTGTCATCTAATGTGTACGAAAGGTGGGGTGGCGTGAGTGGTTAATTGGGAAAACTTAAAGGATTTAAGAACTCTCTTGAGATAATTTCAGACCCAAAACTAGAAGCTGAGCAAGTTTTCTCACGAAGTTTTTCATGGCTAAGTTTTCTCTCTTGGTCTTTTCCTGAAGACATCAGCACTTCAGAATCACTTTGTTACCGTGGTGGATAAATTTAGTTGTTCTGGTTCTTGAACGTAGGACCGGGCGTAGAGAAGCCTGAGCTAGTTCTAGTTAAAACTAGGTGTGTTTGTAAAGCACCTGTCTTATTTTGGGAGTGTTTCTGTCTATATAGACAACGTTAGAAGAGTCACAGTTTTCTTGCTCACATCACAGGTAGGAGTAACTTTAGACGTAAAAAACAAGTTTCCCTCAACAGCCATCTTAATTCAACCACTCAGTTGTGGTTGTATTTCGTCTCTTTAAGTTCATCTGGTTTTAAAATGACACTTGCTTTATATCAAAACCTCGTATTTTCAGAAACTGTAAGAGATGGAAACACTTTTCTGATCTCGATGCACTTTAGTGTACTTGCAGCCTGGTGTCCTTGCACCCAGATATTCTTGTTAATATTACTTGTTATAATGCAATGGCATTTTATTTATTTATTTTTTTTTAATTTTTTTTTCCCAACGTTTATTTATTTTTGGGACAGAGAGAGACAGAGCATGAACGGGCGAGGGGCAGAGAGAGAGGGAGACACAGAATCGGAAACAGGCTCCAGGCTCTGAGCCATCAGCCCAGAGCCCGACGCGGGGCTCGAACTCACGGACCGCGAGATCGTGACCTGGCTGAAGTCGGACGCTTAACCGACTGCGCCACCCAGGCGCCCCTGCAGTGGCATTTTAAAAAAAGGCATGGAAGAGAACATACTTCTATTAAAATCTTTTTAAGTTTCCTGTTTGATTTTTTTTTTAATGGTGTCCCACATCTGTGAGTATCAAAATAAGGTTTTTTTTACAGAGTAGTCAAGCTTCTGTCACTCTTGCAGGTTGATCAGGTCATTGGGCAAGTCTTGCCTCAGAATTACTGAAAGGGATTTTAATATTTTGAGTTTATCCTTGAGATTACTGAAAGGATTCAAGACCAAGGTAATTGATTATTACAGAGTAAGATCTAGAGCCATTTTCTCATAATATGGTATATGAGTGCTAATGACATAAAATGGGGCACCTGGGAAAACTACAACGTTCCTGCAAGTTAAAAATAGAGAAAGCTATCAAGGTAAAAGAGAAAAAAAATAGAAAAGTTATTTTGGCTTGTTTAAAAATATTGGGAATTGTAGTGTTGCCTGGCTGGTTCAATCAGTGGATCATGTGGCTCTTGATCTCGGGGTTGTGAGTTGGAGGAAGGCCAGTGTAAAGTGTAGAGATTACTTAAATGAATAAACTTTAAAAAATAGTTGGGATTGCATTATATTTTGCTTCCATCTATAAAATAAGGTTGGAATAATTATTACTGTATACAGTTGTTTATGTCTAATTATCAGGTGATTTAATCATTTATACAGTTATTGTAGATCAAGGACTTTAACTTTGTCGTAATCAAAGAAAGCTTTCCAAATAAATATTTAAAGTTTAGTTTGGGTAGCTAGTCATCTGTTAGTACAAAGAATAGTTGAGGTTAGGTCGGTGATAGCTTCCCAGTAGATTCTAAGCCAAGTCCTCACAAAAATATTTTTATTGTATTTGAAATAATTTACCAGCATCTTGGATATTGTTGTCTTGAACAACTAATAAAAAAAATTGCATTCCAAAGCTAAATCTCTATTTTTGTACATCTTTATTGCAGAGATGACTATTTTGAATAGTAGCTCTGTTTGAGGTTGAAAGGAATTAGGCCAGTACGTGAGGATTACTTACTCATATGTTCTTTAATATGCATTCTATTCTGGGCTGAGTATTCTCTTAGGTAATGACTATTAGCTAGTGGTACCCATCTACTACCACTTAAGCCTCAAAATGTAAAAACTTACAGTTCTTTAACTACCGATTTAAAATGATGTATGGGACATCTGGGTGGCTCAGTCTGTTAAGCGTCGGACTTCAGCTCAGGTCACAGTCTCAGGGTTTGTGAGTTTGAGCCCTGCTTCGGACTCTGTGCCGGCAGCTCCGAGCCTGGAGCCTAGTTCGGATTCTGTTTCTCTCTTTCTGCCCTCTCCTGCTTATGATATGTCTCTCTTTCTCTCTCAAAAATAAATAAACACACACAAAAAAGTTTTAATGATGTATTACTTCATATTAAAATTCGGGTTGCTGGATTGCTAATGAACGCTTAATCCTTTTTGAAGAGAAATTTCTCTAAACATAGTAACGTAACAGCAATTTATTGTCTTAAGCTTAAATACTAAGTTATTAATTAATTTATTTATGAGGGGGTGAGGGGGAGAGAGAGGGGGACAAAGGATCTAAAGTGGGCTCTGCACTGACAACAGAGAGCGGGATGTAGGGTTTGAACTCACAAACTGAGATCATGACCTGAGCCGAAGGCAGGTGCTTAACAGACTGAGCCACCCAGGTTCCCCAGGCTTAAAATGATGTACAAAGAAAATCTTATATAAATGAGTGACTTGTGATATTATGATTTAGAAATTATTCCACTCCAAACATGGATCTAAGTCTTTATTATATGTAATTTTCACTTTTTTTTTAATTGAACCATTATTGTAATAGAATGTGAAGCTGGAAGAGACCTTGGATATCAATTCCTTTTTACAGATGAACAAACTGAAGGCCTTTTTGATTTCATTGATTCAACATTGATTGAACACTTCCTAAGTGCCATACATTATCTAAGATGATGGAGTTACCATGAACAGAGCCTTTTGGTCCTCCCAGAACTGGACAGGGAACTAGAGAAGCAAAGTATTAATTTGTTTTGTGAGGTGCTATGTTACCAAGTGTCTGGAGAGTACAGAAGAGGGCCATTCAACTCGGATTTTGACCTAAGGGGAGGCTTTCCATCATAGAAGGTGTTTCCCCAATTAGTTAGTAACCCAGATGAAGAATGTGGTAAGACGTTGTAGTGTATATTCAGAGAATTGAAGCATGAGGGAGCATGACCCATTCAGGGAACTCTGGGAGATGGATGGGAAGGACCATCTGTGAAACCAGACGTGATTAGTCCTGTGCCTGCTTTGTTTTAATGATGCTTCTTCTGTTTTGGGGATAAGTTATTTCTTATACATTGGCTAGTTCACATAAGTAGACTTTAACATCTGTTGAAATATAGGTTAGTTTTTTAGGTGTTGTTAGGTTTTTGTTTTAAACCATACTTTTGAATGCTATATTTGAGGAGTACTGAAATTCTGTTTACCTCTGTGTTTAACATATAGTTGACCAGCCTGTTAGTTCAAGCCACAGTTCCTGTGGATATTTGAGGGCTATCAATCAAATACTGATCTAGGTTTCCAAGAGTTTATAGTTTAAATACAGTTTGTATGTAATTAAAACAAAGTATAAAGTGCTTGAGGAGAAGCATGGAATCTCAGCATGAGAGGTCACTTCCATGGGTAGTGCCTGGGCCACACCTCAGACTGACAAAGTCAGCATGGCCCAGGCTCCAGGAGGATTTTGTTTTTAATTTTTTTTGTTTTTTATTCCCCAGGTGATTGGATGCAGCCTGGTAGAGAAGCGTTAATCTGTGGGAATTAGGGGGCTTTTGTAGGAGGTAGTGTTCATTTGGGCTTGAGAGAATTTATGTTTGATCTGGGTCTTGAAAGGAATCCCAGGGTTTGGTGTGTGGGTGCGATGGTTACTGCAGGATAAAGCTTAACTCTTGGAAAGGGTAGAAGAGAGAGAGTGAGTGAGGTCTGGGGAAAGATGATCAAGGCCTACAGACTTGTGAGGGGGGAGTTGGAGGGTACTTGAGGGGGAGTGCAGGAGATGCAGCTGGGAAGCCTGGCACAGCAGCTTCCCTGGATGGTGGACACCTGCTCCGTACTTGTATGGTCTCAGTTGATTGGAGACCTGATGGGAAAGAAAGCTGTTAACTTCATTTAAGGACAGGGAAGCTGAGAGGTTGGGTTATTGAGTCGGAATGTTCCACAGCTAGGAAGCAGTGAGGGTAGGCATTGGCCGAGGACCTGATCTGTCTAGCGATGATGCTACACTGCTTCACAGACAGTCTTCAGTGGAAGCTTCAGGAGTT